ATATTTAGGCACAAGATCAGGCCAAAATGTTGTGCATTATGCCACTTTTTTGGCCCATTTCTCAGAGCACTAATTGTTCTTTTAAGAGGCTTGGGAAATGAGAAAAAGCAACATTTTCCTGATTTTTCAAATCATCCATTCTGTACATTTTCCATATTGTAGGCATGTAACTAGTCCTTCTGGGTTAAAATCGATGGACGAAGCAAAGCGAGGCGTTGTTTTTGGATATATGGATTTTTTTCTTCAGCTTTTTATAGCCGAAAAATATGAAATGTTAGTAGAACTTTGATTGGAAAATTTAGTTTAAGTTCATGATGATAACGCTTTATCGCGTGCTTTGCTTGGGCTCAGGCGTCTGGAATACTTGGGCGCTTTTATGAGATTTTTCATCATTGTGGAATTCTTCAAAAACTTAAGGCTTTTTCTGGGAGTTTCCGACTAATTTTGAAATGAAAATTAAATCGAACGACGAGATTTTGTGAAAAACATGAAGAATGCTGAGAACATATAAACTGAGGAATATTCGGAGCAGTCGTTCTTTCGGCTCTAATGAGAGCAGGAGGCAGACTTGTATTGCGCCAACTGTTGAAAATTGACGAAAAGCGAACTTTTCTTAACCATGTTACGTATAAGAACAAACGTATTTCGAACTGGCGTGTTGGACACGCGTTTTTCCTCAAAAAAGCGCAAATCGTAACTCGTGGAGAGTTCTAAAAATATCAGATCCCAAGCGAAACAGTGGTCGCGAAATCGAAATAGCGCTCTCAAATAGCTTTTCAGTTCCAGACCGTGCACATTTTACAGTTCCGTTCAAGTTTCAAATCGGAGAGCACGTCAAATTGGATCGTTTCGTTTTTCTTCTCATAGCGTTTGTGTCTTCGGTAACGCGATATTCAAAACATTCCCAAGACGGTTCTTCGTGCAGCCCTTAGCGTACCATCGCGAAACCATTGAAAACGCCATCGACTCAGCGGGGCATTCACTCGTTTCAAGCAAACACACCGTCAACTGCTTCAATCTTTTTTTCTTCGTGCTCTTCGCGGCCTTCTTCGTCGAAGCAGCGGTGGAATGGCGGCTGTTCCTCCACGGCTTGCATGACCGTCAGTTTCGGCCAACGGTTGAAAAACAAAAGGTGCAAAGCGCTGTTTAAAATCCGATAGGCGTCAGACAAGGTTTTTCGGTAAAGTTACGCAAAACATACGCAGGATTTTGTTACTGAATCTGGTGAAATTTTGTGATTTTTTTTGGTTCGCTAGGCAATTTGCGGATAGTGCTTTAAACAATTCTATGCTGCTAAGGGAGAGCTTTTGCATGATTATCTACTAAGTGCTTGGAGGAGTCAAACTGGAAATTTGTACAGTAATTGCTAGTGAAAGTGGCCGCAGAAAGTTTAAAAAGTCGTTGGTGTCCGGTGATATGTGCAGAAGTTGATGTCGGCAGAAATCATTGCTTGTAGAGACCCGGAGAACGCGAGGAATGTGATAAGGTTGGTAATAAAGATTTTCAGTTTCGAATAGTTGTTTCTTAACGAAGCGGTGCAATAAAGTCCCTAGTTTAATTAAGCTATTTACATCCAATCGGACACTCGTCGGATCTCGTCCGTAAACATCTTCGGAGAGGAGCATATTTGGATTATTACATTAATTGCAACGGTCTGCTGCCATTTGCATAACGTACAAGGAGGAAGTTTCTTTTTACATGAAGCAATGCTAATGCATTGACGGAGATTAAAATGATGTTGCTTACAAGTGCCCCAGAATCATTTGGAGCAAAAAACTTCTCCAGCCTGAATGATCCATTTGCGCTTGATGTATGTAAAGCCGCGCTGGATTAACATCGCTCAGAGGAGTTCTGAGCTACTGCAGCTATTGAATAAAGCGCTGTTGGAAAATGAGAGCCTCACTCGTTTCAACCAGTAGTAGTTTGTCTTTTGGGCTCCTACTATGACCAACAATCATTAAATCCAAGCAACCTTCACAAGACTATGAACATTTAAAAGTATGTCTCTGTTAGCTTCAGGCTCTAAATACCACCGATGACATAACCGACGTAAACAAACAAATTTCAAAATCTTCAAAGCCACAACTGTTTGCTTACATTTACAGTGTGAACCCGTTAAATGAAAGAATTACTTTGAAATGTCCATTGCCATCGTCGAGGTTGTTTTATAATAAACGATTTTTACGACCACTCTAAGGTACAAATATTTAATGAATTACCGAACTTTTTAAAGGCCATTTTTCGTTTTACTCGAATTTTGATATTCGATCTGCAGGCGTTTACCAAGATCCGCTTAAAGGTGGGATTGTAAAAGTTAAAAACAGTTTAATCAAGCAACTCATAATGTCAGTTTAGTTTCTTTAAGCGCAAACTACGCAAATTTATTTTTATTTTAAAATATTTTGTTATTATTTCATAAATCAAGTTTTAACTAACCAGCAACTGTACGCAATGCATTAGCGCAGAGTGATGTTAGGTTGGAATTTTTCTTTCTTCCTTATTGGACGATCGTGGTTGTTTCGTTGTCATTTTTTCACTCTTACACCATACATAGTTAATAATGGCCATTTTTTTATCATCAAAAATTTATTTTTTCCTGGGCTTTATTACCTTTGCGTAATTTTTGTTTGCTTTTGACGAGGTTTGGAAATGGTAATATTTAAAAACCGCAACCAATTATTTACGGGAATTTGAACATTCATGCAAAATGAAAACTTGACACAAAGATATTGGAGGGCAGAGTAAAGCGAAAAAACTATTAAAAATAAATCTCGACAAAAGAAACTGTTTCTGTTCGAGAAAATTGGAAAAAATATCTGTATTGTTCTTCTGAACTAGCAATACATGTAATCAACTTCACAACTAGAAAACGTATCTATGCTGCCTTAACGAGCATGAAAACGGGCACTGCCTTTGTAAATAATAACGATTTGAAATTCCTTGCACACATAATGATTAATCCGCATTTTAATTTTAAGCTCTATTTTAAAGGTAATTATTCATTCTTGTTTTCTCCAGAGCCTTCGTCCTTCGACGTATTATTAATTGAACCTAAGTATACACTTACCTGACCTGATGTGTTTTAAGGCGTACTATAAAAAAGTAGAACTAATCTAGATAGTAATTTATATTGTTTTTGTGAATGGTAATTTGGAAGTAGTACGAATGGAAGCATGGAAGTATATCGAATCGAAAAATAATTTACCTTTGTAAATTGTGAAGCGCAGAAGCTTTAGGGTACCTTCTTTAAAACCTACTTTGATTAAATATGGGGAATTAATCGAAATAAAAAGGAAGTTTTCGAACTTTTCCTTTTGTTTTGTGGGTTTAAATTTTGCAAATTTCCTTCCTTGGACCGGTTGGCTGAGAAGAAATGGTCCTCCACTTAAGAGCAAAGGTATCTGTCAGTCATGGAAGATAAATGAAAAGGCGTATTTCCAACACAACTCAACAAATGAAATTAAATAAGAACTTCGAGAATAATTCAGTAATTAATCCTGATGAAACATTACACTGAACCTCAATAATGGAACATGTAATTACCAATCATATTCCGCACTGGATGCAAGATTACAAAGGATGTAATATAATTCTGAATATCCTGAGCAGTCTGAGCACTGTTTCATCGTTTGGCTGCTTCACCTATTAGGTATCATATAATATTAATTAATTTAGGCCTCGTGCAACTATTTCGCAATAGTGAAATTAAGTTATTAATATGCGTTTAGTGCTCTTTAGCTAGGATATTGCTCGGCGTAATCTTTCCAATTATCAATTATTGTAATTATTGTTATTATTGCACGTTTACCGGATTAGRATTTTTTTCAAACCGAACATGGTTTGGAACCCAAWGAAATTATGCCWGTATTTAATTGGTTATGCAGGAAATTTCAATAAAAATKAAGTTGTTAAGGACGTTGGGYCGAAAACAATCAATTGAGCGCGGAAATCATACACGTAAATCTTCCATTATACAACTACCCATTTAAGTTGAAATACTTCACGTCTTCTACTGAGGCTCATTTTTTTGCAATTACATGACTTTTCCACTCATTTAAAATTMTTTGGTAATGATTTGATGATGTAGGCGTGGGCGGATTGGTAAAACASCAATAATCCAGCAGTAGGTATTATAAAGAACCGAAAATATTCCAGCAAATTAATACATAACTTCAAACAGTCCTCCTTTCAACTTATCTGAAAACGAGTCGTTTCTCGTGAATAAATTTGAATAAACATAAAAGCCAAGATACCAAACCATAAAAATTTTCCTAAAAGAGACATAAACATATATTCGTATCATTTTAAAGCCGGCTCGCTCTACGTGCGTGTTCCCTCGCTTATACAGGGTGTTGCGAAGCTAAAAACCTACCAGGTCACATGCTAATTAAACGCTTATTTGCTCGCATGTGCAAGCTTCAAGCATATTATTATATGCCTGGTAAAATTTACTTTCATTTTTTACTGCATCCTCTATCTACTTTGCATTTGTACTGTTAGAGGAAATGGGAGAAAGTTGTTAAGGTCATAATTGATTTAAAGCCTTCAATATGTTCTTTAAATTTATAATGCATGTGTTTTTAGTCATTTTTCAAAAGTTTGGAATTGCGAAAAACTTTGTAGGTTGATCAGTTTGGCTTGAAATGATCCTGAATAGTCCTTAATTATAACAACAAAAGCAGGCAACAAAAACAATAAAAACATGTTGGAAAATTGAAGAAAGTACGTGTTGAATTTGCTTCTGTTGCCAAACATGAATGTGTTGAATAATTAGCGAGGAAAAGAAACTAAAGCTACATTGAAATGAATCGATTAAAGCTTAAAAATAAACATACATCAATAAACTAAGTTAATAAATCGCGTGCAAATGGCATGAATGAGGTGCAGGTGTATCAATATTTTATTTGTCCATAGTGAATTTATCTGTTATTACCTTGTCATTGCTAAATGTGTATTGATTTAAATCAATTAATAACGCATGTTCATTAATTTTTTTAAAATAATTGACTATTTTGAGTATTTTTTCATTTCCTTTGGTGTATTGTATACAGAATGTGGACAATCTGTCTGTTAGGTTTTCACGGCTATTTCTTGAAACTGATGAATTTTCGGGATTTTAAGCCGTCGTGGAACCTTTTTTGCATTTTCTCGACACAGCCACCATCTCGGAAGGTGGAAGCCCCTCGTACTTGCAAAACGTCGGAAACAAATTCTCGTCAATGGTGCCCAAAAACTCGAAAATCTCAACAGTTTCTACCTGCTTCGGATCGCCAAATTTCCCCATCCAATTTCAATTAAATATTCAAGAATTTAAATTAAAAAATGCAATGTAATTTAAAAGGAAAACCGTCTGAATGGTCTTGAAGAAGATCTTCTTTTGGTCTGCGTGGAATGTGAAAAGCTAAAACTAGTAAGTCGTTAGCAGACACTCAATTAATGTGCTTCTGAAATTATGCGATTCGTTTTAGTTGGAAAAACAAAACTGAAATTAATAATAAAAAACTTTCGGCATCAGCAGAGCCGTCATGAGTTTTTGAAGTAGGCAAGTGCAGGTTTCGACGTGCGCCAACCTCAGGCACCCCCTAGACACTCGATTCTCCAAATTCTATTATGCACTTTTTAATGCCTAGTTACTGTCGCAAGTGTTTGTGCAAGTTTTGGTATCGCTAATTTCAGGCTGAACCCAGCTGATGAGAGCTAATAGGCTCGAAACCGGTCTTGGGGGTGCCTGAGGTTGGCGAACGTCGAAATCTGCACTTGCCTACTTCAAAACTTAAATTAGTCCTGAGATTTGGGTATTTTCAGCTATAAAACTTAGGTAATTTCGGGCCAAAATGATGATAATATATTTTCTATTATACGCTTTTATACGAACCAAAAATTAAGTCAATAGAATTAGAAAAACTCGTAATTACACACGATGTGTAAGCTTTACTCTTCGCTTGACCACCAACATAATTTCGTGGTTTCTGAATAGTAAAAAGCCCAAGTGCACGGTCCAGTGATAATATCAGTATAATTATTAAACACATAAAATCAGTGATCACGAAATCCATTTACGAAAGATGCCGATTTTTGTGGTTGATGAAAACTAACAAAAAAAAAACACCTTGAAAAAGCTAACTACTATCTGTCCCGACAAAATAATTATTTAATGTTGTGGAATTGGATCTGGAGCTTTTAAAGCGAACGTCCTGTGATTATTTATGAAAGACGATTTTTTTGATTCACCGTTAGAAAATTAAAGATCACAAAATAACACATTGGCTATCATGAATTTTCGGCATATAAAACTGCGCTAAAAAGTTTTACGACTAATTTAAGGCAACTAATAACTCTAATTAATGAATCAATTAGCATATAGGCAATATTGGTAGCTAATGATAGAGGAAAGAAGAACATTTCGGTTTTTCATTAAGCGAGCAGTCGAGCTTTTCGAGCCATGCAGAAAAATTATATGAGCTGTCGACAATTAATCAATCATTT